TGCTACATAATGAAAATTTCCTAAGTTGATCAAGTGACAATTTTTGTTTTTTAAATTATAAAGAAAGTAAAATTATTGTGTGTGAAGATGATTCGCTTTCCTTAATTGAACTTTTCTCATTAATTTCATAGTTTGAAATCAAGTGATTCGAAACAAGTTTTTTTTTCGATTTATATAGGTCTACTATACACCTATATTCGGTTTTTATAAATTAATAATTGATTTGTTAATAGAAACTGTAGAACGTCCTAATTAGCAGCTCATTCTTATTTTTTTATTAATAAAAATTATATTTCTTCTTAAGCCAATTCAAATTATTATTATTATATATCACATTTCCGCGCAAATAAGTGCATGCTCTTATGTATTCCAGTTTGTTTTGGCTTATAAGAGCACTGCACTTATGTAAATTAAATGTAGGACTAAATGTACTAATATCACAGAAAAAATAACGACTGTTTTTGATACTTTGCAGAATATAGTGCCGATTTTTTGCCCATTAAAGCTATCCATACTCTTATATGCGCGGAAATATAGTAAATTGAGATATTATTTTTTATCGTTGTAAATTATATAATAATAATATGTACTGTACTTGGAAAAAGGCCACAAAATAATTAAATTCTGACAGTGTAATAGTGCAGAGAACAGTTTCTCTTTTGAAAGTATTGGGGTGGACACACGGACACGTCCTTCCGAAGGACGTATCTTTTGTCCACCCATAGAACACATCCTGTTGGATATTCATTTTTCTTTGGGTGGATGAATCTTGGATCGTTTCTCGAAGTCTGTTTTTAATTCGAATCTTATCCTTAGCTACTATAGAATGTAAGTTGTAGGAATATATTCTGTTCGTATTCGGAGAAATGCATTTTTCACTTCTGTATTTGTTTCCTTGGTTAGAAATCGAATGAATATTAGTTGTTAAGAATAGTATAATTTCATAAAATAACATTCTTGCACGTAAATGTTTTTAACATGAAATTTTCTGTAATCCGAGTATAATTATTGTATTAAAATATTACGCCACAGTTGCTGCCATCTAGCGATGGCAAAACGTATAAATTACTACCTGTAAAGAGTAAATTACAAAGATATATTTTAGAGAACGTTTGGTTATCTTCCGCTATTTGAATGCCCGAAAAACAATAGAGCAACACGTTTCTCTCGTGTTTTCCCTTATTTTATATTTAGGTAAATATGACGTCATTTGTGCTGGTGACCCAGTGACAGTTTTAAAGAGTTCGTACACCTTTCTCTAACCGTTAACAATACTAAAACTAACCTACATTTCGCGTTATAAAATGGCTTAATAAGGAACCATTAGAATAGAGTTCGAAGATTTAATAATTATTGTAGAACAATTCGGTATAGAGGAAAGTTATTAAATGGTCTAAATATGAAAAGGTTAGCACGATTTTGAAACATTCGTCGTGTTACAATTTAGAAATTTCAAAAGAATTATTCATATGAAAAATAGGATGAAACTGGTATTTTTGTTAAACTGAAAGTTTTATTTTGCTTATTATCATCTCATGTAATCATTTTGGCACATTAATAGAAACATGTTTGTATATAATATACATATTAGGGACACTCAGGCACTATAAATATTTCCAGATATTCAGTTTATGCATCGAATTTAGGGATTAATGATAGATTAACTACATGGTTACTGATTCATTGCTTGCTATTCAGTTCTGTAAATGAAACTTGTCTATGTATGTCTACTTAGGCATTAGATAAATAATAATAGACATTACATATTTATATATTCAGATATTAAATTTATAATTAAATTTAGGTATTCCCAAATGAAAAGAAACGAAAAGATTCTAATCCAACTTCTTGGCCCACAAGTTACCATGTCACATAAGTTTTTATATATTAAACAATTTTTGTTTATATCTTGTGGAGTAGCTCTTAATTTATGGCCAATATTATGATTCATTAGAATCTGAATTTCATTTATAAGCTTAATAATAATAATAATAATAATAAAGAAATTAGTCATTCATATTAAAGTAATATTTTAAAATCTGTTTGAAAGGAGTGATAAGAATTTCGATTCATTACTTTAAATCGGGTTAAGGATCATTTCCATAATAATAGTGTCAATTATATGCCAGATATTTTCGAACTGCCAGTTTCCTACATCGAAACGATAAGTTATCGATGGTCATTAGTTCTCTTCATTTGCGAAACGATCAGTGATGTTGGAACCATTTTAGAGTGATATTTTGAGTAAAGATTTGTGATGCAAGATATAAAATCAGTATGTATGTAATTTTCGATAGTTTCCGTGACTCCAGAAATGTTGTTTAATGTAGAAAATTGGAATTAATTTAGACTTGTCATTTTCTTTTTAAACTCTTCTATTTAACTTGCTTCGTATCGTGTCCTCAAAGTTTGTCTTCTAAGTACTGTACTATGAAAATGCATTTTAATGATGATTTTAGGGTTGGACCAGCCCACCAACCCACCCCCACCTGAAACCCGATAAACATAATTAAATGCAGAACTTAATCATTTGTGTTTGTAAATACACAGTAGTGTTGTATTGGGGGTAAGGCTACTACTCCCACTTCACTCTCAAAAAGCTAATCAGTAAAAGCATTTTTTAAAAATTATTTTTTTAATATCGAGTCATCAAAGATGATATTACGCTTTCATTAATTCATATTCTATTTATGCACAATTGAATCATAATATGTAATTTTTATTTTTGTAACGGATATCATCGAACGGAAGTAACGTCTTTTACGCAATCGCTTTGAATTTTATGTAATTTTTAAACCTCTATTGAATAAGTAATTTTATTTCATAATACAGAATAATCGTTCGTTTTCAATTAACATTATTGCAACAGTTTTAAAAATTTTATTTAAATTAATTTTAATTCTGTTATATAATATGGAATGAATTTTGAAATGGTTTTGTAATTTGATAGTATTGATATTCAGTTATGCTTGAATCCTCGTCCTGATGCATAACTTTTTCATTGAATATCCATACGACTGGACATAATTGAGATTCACTCTTATTGAAACTTAATTCTGACACATAGGCTAATAAATTTCACTTTAATGTTATCTTTTAGCTAGTGTGTGTTATTATCGAAATAACGTAGCTTGTATAAAATATAAAACACCCTTTAACTTAGACATTTATAAAATTATTAACTACTCGCTATTAGAAAGACCCTTATATAATGACGGAAAATATCCGTAAATGTATCCGTATTTTATAGGAGAATGATCGTTACAGATATTACACACTGCCTACATTTACTCGAAATACTTGCATAACTCTCGAATCATTTACGCTAACCGGAAAAGATATACATACAATCGTTTTATTAAATTTCAATTTTTAAAAGTTGCAAAACTAGAAAATTCTTGCGTAATAATTCGGTTATTTTACTTAAAAAAAATAACGAGTAAAATACATTTTTTAAAAATATTAATTTACAAGCTTAACTGTTTTCATTCATTTTTATTGCTTTTGTACTGGTCGTGGCATAGTCAGTTCGTACAGTATACCTAAAAATTGCCACAGCGGAGTCATTAACTCATCTATAATAAACGAAAGTGGAAATATATTCAATATTAAAATCTCCATAGCTAATATTATTAAAATTGCATTAGCCCGTACCGAATGTTTTCGAAATTCTTGTAAAATTAATAAGTTAGTGCTTATCTGCATTCGTTCGTTTTCGGATAAAAAATAAATAAAATAATTTTCTCGCATTAAATATTTTATATTATTTACGCGTTTAAAGTAATAAATATAAAATTTATATAAGGTGAAAGGTATAAACATGTATCTGTAATGTTAGCCATAACTAGAAATTTCGAATAGTGTTATATTTTCTCCAAGCTAATAAGATTTTTCACACGCTCTGGTACTTGGAGAAGTCTAAAATTTAGAATAATGTTAGAGTATTAGGTTTCGAAACAGAATCACTTTCATTAAGATCATTCCAAAAATGTCGAAATTTTATTGTTTCCTCAGATTTCTGTTCTCGAATTAACTTCTTTTTAACATCCATATAGTTAATTCCAAAATGCTTTAAAAGAATTACTGCTAGAATCTAGTATTTTTACAACCTCAAATGAATTCCTGATCTATTTATAAAGGACGTAAAATCGACGTTCGGATCTATAGTTTAACATTTCTATCAATCATTCCAACATGTTCTTGTATTTTACTGGGTTTTTAATTTGTAGATATTAAATTTCAGAGCTATTTTTCGATCGGTTCGAAGGCTCGCCCACACAACAGCTCTATCGCTTTATTTCAACAAATTACGTCGTTCAGTGCATTACTGTTAAACGAACCGAACACACCTGCTCGTTATTACACAAGCATTTTATTTAAGGTAAACTTACAGAAGTCGTAAAAACACTAGTTAGGAGCAGAAAAAAAGGGGGACGGGCTCTCTTTCGAACGAGTAGGTGCAAGTTCGTGCAGAAATCTCTATCCGTTTTTTCTTGTTCAGTTATGGAATTTACTTGACTAACAAAATTATGCGCGTTATTAACGTTTAATCCACTTTAGGAAGGTGAAGCTGTTTGGAGGCGAGCTCTTAATTCTTGAGTAGTTCGTTCCACTCGAATCGGGAAGAGACTTCTCGACGGAGGGGGGACGAAGGCAATTTTAATGACCGGTTGCGACACGCTCGAGTGTTGTCGTCGGCGCCGAACCCGATGCCGGAGATAGGGAAAACAAAGGCGTTCCTATGAATACGTAATCCGATACGGAACGGCCAAATCGACCGGTTTTTAGAGGCGAGGAAGTCGTTATCTGCCGACATCCCCGCATCTGTCGTTTCCTCGGTAGCGTACAGGTAGGCTGCTGCCGTGTTCTGTTCCACTAGATCTGTCCGGTCGCCGTGGCAACCGCGCGCGCCCTACGTCGACGATAACCACTCGGCACACCCGCCATTCATTTTGTTCTGTTTTCTGTATTTCCGGGAAGGAAATGGCATAAGCGCCTACCATCTGGAAGACTTTACCTCTTCTTCCTCTGTTCCTTTTTTTTATTACTGTAATTTTTTTGGATACGTTCTCAGTGTCTATAGGATGTCCCGGTCTGCCCCACTGGAACAGGTGAACGGAGGTTGACTCGAACTCCGGCTTTTTTGTTACTCGTCCTCGTCCGAATCACGTGCTCGGTAGGCGTTACCATAGTAACGCTGACTAGTGAGTCAGTCGGTGCCTATCGGCTCGGTTGATACCATGCTAATGAAGATGCCGCCGTTGATGTCCGGGCTCCGTCGTCGTTCCTTCCGAATTAAAAAGAGGAAAAAGTCAAAGAATAAACGAGCCGCTCTCTCAGGTAATCGCTTAATTTCGGACTTTTAATTTTTGTTTTTCCGACGTTACGTTTGACTCCTCCTCTTTGACGTGATGGATATTCGGCTCGTCGCAGCTGTTCGATTCTATCCTATTGTCTTTATCGTCTTCCACTTCCCTACTCCTTTTAATATGAATGATGTAAGTATCCTACTGTCAGGTTACGTTCGATAAATGTAAGGCGGTGTAACGGTGACGATTGATCTTTTCTAAGTGGCAGGTAATGACGATAACCTTTAAGAAATTATCGCGTTGCCTTTTTATCAATGTCACCTTACTAGTATAAATACATAACACCCCCTATTAGTTCCGATGGGTGCAATTTTTTAGTTCGAAAGTCGATTATTAATTTATGTCGTACTCGTTTGTTTGTATTTTTCGTTAGGTATTCAGTTATAAGAAACAAAACAGTCTTAGTGTGTTAATGTACGGTCTATTTAACCAGTTTAATGTACCACTATTCGTGACAAATGTACAATGGTTTATGACTATTTTTTATATGTAACGGTAGAATCGTTCTTTAATAAAAAATGATGAATGGAATATTACAGAATATTTTTATTGAAACAATGAAATGATTAGTTTAAATTACAAAATTTTTAGTCTATTCTTGTAAATACATAGAAATACCAAAAGAAATCTATTTCATTGATTTATTTATTCAAAAAACGTATTCATTTATTAAATTACTCATTTGCCTTAAAGTATTTACAAAACAGTGCAGTCAGAAACAAATTTGTCAAATTTATAGTTTGTATCACATCGTTTTAAAACTTTATATAGATCTAAACTTATCTTGTCTTAATGGTTAAAAGGTTATCTATTTACAGAATTATTTTTACATTTTTTACACTTCTTAAAATAAAACTTGACTATTGCTTCATACAAAAGCTAATCTATGCATTTATTAATAAATAAAAAATTTAACTTCTGGATGTGAATTGAGAGACATTAATGAATTGATTTAGAGTATTTTCAATATTTAGAATTTTAATTAAATCGGGAGATAAATTTAGAAAATACAATAAATTTAAAAAAATTCATGGACAAAGAACTTTGAGTTACGGTCTCTGCCCATCTTTTGATGACCTTTGTTGTTAAAAGTCATTGTCCTTTCTCCACACATAATAAATGGCCCCAATATTTTATTCTTTCTGTGCATATCAAAAAGAAAGAATAAAATAATTAATTACCTTTTAAACCCATCAAACCTGTTAAATTTGTTACTCCTTTCTATGTTAATTTTTTAACATCCTGCAAACTAGTTAATTTATAAATCTTATGAGATTTATAAATTAACAAGTTTGCAGGATGAATCTTTTAAGAGGTTTTAGTGAATGTTCCATTTTGTTTTTCTACCAGTAATTATGCAATGGAAAAATTCAAATTTATTTTTACACTATTTAAAACTTAACTTTTAAAGCAACTTTTTAATGAAAAACAACTAATTTTTGCATTTCATGGACATAAACTAATTTTTTTGATAATTTATAATTATGGTGATCAGTTGTTACTATAAATTATATTACTATTCAATAAATATTTGTTTTTGATGATGTGATTTCAATAAGCTTGTTAAATGTCAAAAGGAAGCTCAATGACTAATTTTGTCTTATTACATTAGTTCCAAAAAACACTGTTCATTTTATAGTAATGAAAAATCAAGTACTTACTAATAGGCTGTATGACACTATGAAGGTCAATGCTGTCCAACTATGACATTAATCGAATTCACAATTTTCTTAAATATGATACAGGATTTGTGTTATTGTTTTTATGTTTTTATTAAAATACATTTGTTTATCATTTAGAATTGCTAAAGAATCTGTTACTTTGATAATTTCCTGTAATATATATAAAAAAAAAAAAGATAGCCATTTCAAGCAATGAACCATGTCTCCAGTCCTGCACGAATTGTCTTAGTTTTTCTTTTCAGTGGACAAGAAACCTTTATAGACCCATCCATTCTAGCAGACCAGATAGCTGACACTTCCTTACACCTTGCCATTCTGTTTTTAGTTTATTTACATCAGCTTAGATGGTTTACTCAAATACTAATTGGAGGTAGTTATGTTTTGCTTGATGTGCCATGCATACAGGACAGAGTTATGCACCACTGTGTATTTTAACTACTATTTGTTACCATGTTGTTCCACTCTCCAGAAATTTGACATTTGATGTTAGGTCAGTGTGTTTGGTTTGAGCTGATAGCTCATACAGGAAAATTTGACATGTGAAATAATTTTTTTTTTACTTGGTTTTTTCTTAACATCTCATGTATTTTAAACATTATTAAATTTTTTTTAGTCAGTTCCTTTTTAATCAAACAGAATTCCTTTCAGTTAAGGAAATTATATTAAAAATTGTATCATTTTGCATTTAATGAATATTGAAGGAAGTTCATAATTGTGCAAGTTTCATAAAATACTTAGTTGACAAGAATTTTATGAAGAATGCATTAATTAATATTTATAATAAACTTTGCAAATTTCAATTACACAATTCTTCTGATTTGATAAATCAATATTTCATTTGATTTATTATTTTATTCAATGTCTTGTAAATAATGAATTAATTCATTACTGTTTTTTATAATTTATTTTTATTACAGCAAAGGTACCACATTTTTGTTACTAATACATTTATTGACAAAACAAGTTTATTTATCAAGGAGGAGGCTTAGGAATTGAATGAAACTTATTACCATCATTGTTATATTTATACTAATAATTACAATATCATAGTAGAGGTACAGTTTCCTGTGGTACAATGGTAGAATTTAAAAACTTTCAGTACTTTGTATGCTCTTTTGTTGCCTTGATCCATTATGGTCAGGTATGGAAGCATATAGTCACTATATGTTATCCTGCAACAAATTTGCCTGTAGATGATGTAACTGCCACTCAATTAACTGCCACTCAATCTCTTGAACTTGGTATGCCAACTTTGGTTATCTACATCTGGTTCCACTAATGCTTGATGGGCAACAAGTTTTTAGACCAGACAGGCTAAGGAGTGTGCATTGTGATGGAGACATTCCTGAGAAACCTGTGTATTGTGGAACATTATCTTGCTGGAATATGATTGTTTACAGCAGTTTTGAAATGAACCATATAAGGGTGTAAGATTTCCTAAACATTGTTGTCAATGTCTCTCATAGCACTACAAGGAGTGACTTGATTGTGATATCAGATAGCTCCTTAGACCACCAGTTGTTCCCAAATAGAACAAGAATTTGTTACTAAAGATAAGCTAGCAGTTCATTCTTCTGTACACTGCAAACAATATCAATGATGTTGGAATGCTAATAGCGGATGTGTAGTGATTACTTTGCATACAAGTTTGTCTCTGCTATTTGCAACCAATGATACTGGAAGAGGAGGAGGATTTTGTAGCAGGGCTTGCACCTGTCTGGATGGCAAAGATGATCATCTCGCCAATTGTCTTTCTTGGAGTATTTAAAGCCTGACTGCCATGTATGTGCCCTGATATATTTGCTACTCCGACACTACCATACAGTCAGGTTAGAAAGGTCCAAATAATGGAAAATTCAACAAAATGTCCATCCTGCTTTGGACTCAGCTCAATGATGTGACTTTCCTCAAACTCTATTAGCTGTATGAATTGTTTGATTGCATTAAATAGTCATGTGTGGTGTTCAAAGTCTTCTAAACAGTTAGTACATGGAAAATTTCAAACTCTGTGAGCATCTGCAGGCCTTTTTTATAGGATACTGGTATATTAATTTTAAGACACTATGGTGGCATTACCTGGCATCTAATTGGATCACAGCCATAATGATTTACATGTATAAAGCAATAGCTTTATGCTGAAATTGTTTATGCAGTTACTACAAATTATTAGAAATAGCTTTATGCATAACTTTTTTTGTCAATGAAATGAGTGAAATATCTGGGTATTCTACCCATTTTATGTCTACTCATGTATAATTTTCAGGAACTGCCTATTTTTATTTATAAAACATTTTCGGCCTCACATTTTATTTATTTTGAGTATCACTTAATGAAACAGATTTTTTTTTTTTTTTGAATAGTAAATGTTCTTGAATATATTTTTCAAATACAACTGTAACATTCAAACTTATTTCAAAGTTTGTGCTCTTTTATAATTCTATTAATCAGAATTTTTTTCACATATTCAAGGAAATCTATGTTGATTTGAAAAACAAAAATAGAATGGTGGCACTCACTGGGAATTGATAACTTTATGAAGTTTTTGAGCAAGTGAGCTAAGCCTGGAAGGACAAATAGTAATTTTATGTAATGTAATTTGAATTTGTAATTATTTTTTGATATTTGTGTTAATCTATATTGAGATTTTTTATAAAATGTGTTAATTAATATAATTTTTTTTATTGCTATTTAAAAATTAAGTAAATAAATGTGAATTAAGTTGAATAGTAATAAATTAACAAAATAAATTAAACAGTTTAATTTCTCAGCTCTTAACAAAGTTTTTTTTATTCATAAATTTAGCCATCAAGATGTTTTGTTATTTATTAAAAAATAAATATAATTTAAGTAGAAATGTTATGACATTACATATTTATATA